AGCAGGAGGGTTGGACTAGATGACCCACAGAGGTCCCTTCCAACCCCTACTATTCTGTGATTCTGTATGTCCACAATTGCCACCTACATGTGCACCAAAATTTGTCACTAAACATTCTGCCATATCTACTTGCATCCAAAGTAAATGTGTGTGTATTAGCAGCGAATGGATAATTGTTTCTGTAACTTAGTGGATGCGCAAAGAAATATTTCTAGCTCGTGCACTGAGATCTCACAGAGTCCACGTGAATAGACATGTATTTGTTATATGTCTGTATGATTTGGGATTAATATTATTGATCAGTATTTCTTGAATTGAATAACTATACAGTAAAAGAACTTAAAATCTGTAAAGGAGCACGCCTGGGCTTTAGTGCTGGGTCATGAATGCTGGAGAAATGTCCAAAAGTTCTGCTATGTGTGGGTGCATCTTGTGCTCGGTAAACTTGTATTAATTTCCAGGCCTCTTCCAGGTGTGTGAATGTGTGTTATAAAGTAGTAGTGAACAGTTTCCAGACAGTGAATGTCACAATCTTGAGCGAGAGATCCACTTCTTATACCTGGGTGATGCAAAATTCACCAATAATGTGGCTATAATTTAGATGACAGTCTAAATATATGAATGTCACTGCATTATTCATGTTTCAGGGAAACTGACATAAACGTGAGCAAATGTCACGGTTTAGGTATAGTATCTTGACTTGGGGTTCAGGTGTTACTGCTTCTATTTTTTTACTGTATAGTTAACGTTAGCAGTCACCCTTATCATGATATGACATGTACTGCCTCCAAGTATGGTGCCTGCCTACTCCTGCCATTAAGGAGGGCTGATTTAATCAGTAATGTGGTGTAGCTTCTGTGACATCCTTTGGACTGAAGAAGGGAGTCAAATACAGTCCTTTTTTCCTACTCTAGGAAGAACTATTTTAGAAATATTTGACAGAACTTCTTTAGTTGTTATTAGCACACCTGAATTTGGGTCAAGTTTCTAAGTTACTTTGTTTAGAAAATGGATATTTTAATGCTATTAAGGGAATACTTTCACTGTGTAGTTATAGTACTGTCAACAAAAGATGTGATTAAATAAATTGAACGTTGAAGATTTTCGGCTTACGGTTAACACCAGGTAATTAAAAGTAAGCGCTGCTGTGGGAGTGCATTGTATATCAGCTGTACTCTTTACCTCATTAGCTGTGTTTTTGCATGTTTATGGAGCTAACCTTCAATTAAAAATGCCTTTAATGTATGCTTAGCAAGGCATTTTAGGTATTTGGAATAAAGTACTACAATTTAATTGAAATTACTATAGCATAAATAGATGTCTTAGTAACATGTGAGATAAATCTCAGTGCCTAACTTGTCACTTTGTATCTTTTCTTCCTGTGTAATCTTTAATGCTGACTGTAAGGCCTCACTTTTAACTTGTATAAGAAATGGAGATTCTCCCTTAAACTCTAAAGTATGTTTGGATTTTTTAGACAAGTAAAACTTTATTAACAAGATACACTGAAATTCATGCCTTAGCCATATTTTTGCGACGTGTGGATGTTTGTATGTGCACACAGTTATGTGTTAGGATTAGTCATCTGTTCTGCTTTAGAATACCAGAAGTAGTGTACTGTCAAGGCAACCTTCAGTGTTGATAATTTATCTTGTGTTTTTGTTTTGGATACTGTGATATCTTTTGTAAATAGTTGCCTGAAATGTAAACCCAAATGTTCAGGAAACTAAGGTGAAAACTAAAACCTACTTGCAGGTCACTTATCCTGCTGATCTTCTAACTGTGTGCTTGTTTGTCAGAGATTTTGCAGAAATGGATGAGCTAATAAACAAGGGTGAAGTGTCCGTTAGGTTAAGGTAGATTTCCAAAGATGATGAAAAAAGAAAATAGGGAAGGAATGGTACTTTTGCAGGACATAGAAGTGTATGTGCTAGATGTGTAAACAAGGATCATGATGTGTAAATCTTCATACAGTATTATTTACTAGCTTTTTGTCTTCACCTAGGAGTGTCGTTGTACCACCGAAGAAATCAACTATTTCATCTTCTACAGCTGCTATAGGTGTTCCTACAAATGCTGTCAGTATGGTTTCTTCTTTAGATTCAGCTCAAGCTCCAGATTTGTCAGGAGAATCTCCTGGTGAGTAAGGGTAAATTTGACAACTGAAATCCCAACCTTTCCTCTCTTGCTTCTCCCTCCCTCACCATTCACTCTGAATACAGATGAACAAACTTTTGTCACGTGTTTTTTGTTATGTGAAAGTGATATGTTTTTCAATAGTTATCCATATCTCAATAGACTGTAGATGAGAACAATTGTTTTTCAGACATTAAGTCATTAGCTGCCTTCCGTTGTAATATTGATTAGTGTGTATATATATTATCAGTCTATAGACGAGTCTTGCGTATACTGAGAATATTGATACTTATTGCTGGTTGTATTTTCTAAGGGGAAAATGTGCCAATAATCGGGGAAGATGGTGTTTTAGACTTTTTTTTTTTTAAGCTACTGGGCTGTATGTCATATAACGTCCTAGATTATCATCAGTCAAAAGGACCTTGGAGACCTTTGTATCCTACATACTACTTTGTCTATATCTTTGTCATATGCCCTTATACAGCAGCTTCCAGACCTGCATTCAGTATCTGTGCCTCTAATAGAGACCAGTATCAGATACTTTACTGGCAAACAGATGTGTCTCTAGGTTAAATTGGACCAACTGTCAGTGACATTGTATGGGTTCAAGAATGTAAGAATTCATCCTTTTTGATGTTTTCTTAGAATTTATACCTCATATAATTTTTAAAAAATTTATACGTAGGTTATTTTTTACATTTGTGTAGCTACAGCATCAAAACTAGCAATAATAAAAAGTAGTGTATTAAAAACAAGCTTTGCTAAACTTTTTTGGGATTCTCCTTTTGCCTTCATCTAGCAGAACAAACGCAAATGTCTGAGCAATATTTGTCATAATTTCAAGATTTCTCACAGTTTTTGTTTATTTAGTCTAAAGACTGCTTTTTGTAACAGATTTTGTTATGTAAAATATTGTAGGGTATTTGTCCAAGGATGCATGTGCTAGTGCTGAGTAGGACTGCAAATTATATGCAATTGTTTCCAATAGCATTAGCCTGAGGTCAGATTCTGTGTTGATGCTGAACTAATTGCTTTGGACAGTTTTTTCAGTGGGGACAAAATTGAGTAGGCTGTTTATAAGCAAGTGGTCCTTTGAACCCTGAGTATCTCTGGTCATTCTGTATGAGATAAATGATGTTTAACCTTATATGCTGTGTCAAAGGCATGCTTTTCTACTTAGCCATGTTTAAGTCACAAGGGTGGTGTGTAGGATCTCATAATTGTTTGTGCCCATGAAGTTCAGTGTCCAGACTTACAACTAATTTGCATCTCAGTCAAGGATATCTCCATCTATGCCTGATTATTGGTGTTTCTTTTCAATGCTTGAGTTCTTGCTTCCTGTTTTTATGAACTTTCATCCAAATTGCAAATACTGAGGAAAAAAATGTAAGCTGTGTTCAAGTCCTCTAATACTCTTGTGCCTGGAAGATATTTGTAGCCATCTTCAATTGCCCTTTGTATTTCTTGGGGAAATCAAAAAAGTTTTTTGTTCCAGCCATGATAATGGAAAAGAAAAGCTATTGAAATATAGTATGTTCTTATTCTTTGCAAAAGAGAGAGTCCATTTAGTCACTGAAATTGCAGAAGGTAACACTATAGTAGTCTAAGAGTAATGTTTGGACTAGGAAAATTAGCTGTCTTCTAAAATATCACGGTTCTTTGGGGAAGATTGGCTCCAAGCAACTAATCTGTTTTTAAAATAATAAAACCTTACCTACACTGAAAGTGTTTAAAATAATTGCTAGTTTGTTAACTTCTTACTGGTTTACCCAGGTTAGATGTGGGCTTAACTATTACAGTTTCTCAAGTCAGTATTCACTTGCTTTTAATAGAAACAAAACAGATGAACATTGATTTTCACATTTAGTCATTCTTTTAACAACATATAGGAGGAAAAAAAAAAAGAGTACTCCTGTGCCTGTAGTATATATAAGAAATTCAGACAATAGACGATACTGTTGAGTTTATAACTGCCTGACTTCCAGCATGTCTGGGATTTTTGGCAAAAATTGGACATGCAATCTAAACTGATATGCATAAAAAGAAACTAATCAGGATTAAAAACAGAAGACATGTTTAGACTGGCAGTCTAATTAATTAAAAGAAAAAGTAAAGGGATAAATGAAATCATGCCTTAAACAGATTAAAATGTGACACTATTTCTTGCCAGTAAAATAATGGCATGGAAACAAAAATTTTGCAGAAGTGGAGTGGTTTATACTTACATTGCTCATATAAATTGCACACATTTAAGTATGGTGTAAAGTTCTGTATAAGGCCTCTAACTTTTTTGTTGGAGGATACAAGTAGGAAGAAGTGAGCTTCCTATAAAACCAAAATATGATATATATAATTTTTCTCTGAGTTCAAATCACATGTTCTTTCACTAATTTTTGTTTTCATGCAACAGAGAATAAATACACTCTTCTCATTTATTCCATTAACATTCCTTGGAAATTTGTTTACTTTTGTAATTAAGAAAAAAATGAATTAAATTGTTTTTTAAATGGTGCTGAAAGTTTATGTAGTGAATATATATTTTGAGCTTTGATTGTTTTGTATGAAGGCTATTTAATAACATTATTGCTACACTTAAAAATATTTTAGCTGTTTTTTCTGAAGTCACAGAATCACAGAATAGTAGGGTTTGGAAGGGACCACTGTGGGTCATCTAGTCCAAC